TAAGTTGGTGGTTGTGGCTGCCTACGGGGAGAAGGTGGTAGATGTCTTGGGGGTGAAGGTTGATGAGTAGGTGGTGCATGTCGATGAGTGGGTGGTTGTGGTTGATGTCCACGTGAAGGCGGTGATGGTGTTGGTTGTACGTGTGTAGGTGGAGGAGGTGAGTACGTTGGCAAGGGTGGGGGTGATTGTGCATATGCAGGTGGAGGAGGTGAGTAAGTTGGTGGTTGTGGCTGCCTACGGGGAGAAGGTGGTAGATGTCTTGGGGGTGAAGGTTGATGAGTAGGTGGTGCATGTCGATGAGTGGGTGGTTGTGGTTGATGTCCACGTGAAGGTGGTGATGGTGTTGGTTGTACGTGTGTAGGTGGAGGAGGTGAGTAAGTCGGTGGTGGTTGCACTTGAGGAGGAGGCGAATAAATTGGTGTCGGTGGTGGTTGTGCATATGTAGGCGGTGGAGGATGTACATGTCGACTCGGAGGTGAAGGTTGACGATGGCTTGGGGGGTGTTGTCCTCTAGGTGGCGTGTGTCCTCTAGAGGGTGGTGCATGTCCATGAGAAGGTGAAGGTGGTCTTTGCCCATGCGATGGTGGATGGCCGCCACCATGAGAGGGTGGAGGTGCACCATAGGACGGTAGCGGATGACTTGGAGAAATCATAGGAGACGGCGGGGGATTGAAGCCACGAGAGGGCGGCAAGTGTCCTCTATGCGGTGGAGGACCGCCAACAGATGGTGGTACATGACCATGAGAAGGTGGTGGGTAGGCATGGCTAGGTGGAGCGTGCCTTGGCGACGGTACATGTCCACGACCCGGTGGTGGTGTTGTCGGAGCAATAGGGGGTTGATAGCCAATAGAACTTGGTGGTGGTTGGCTGGCAACAGGCGGAGGAAGGTAACCACCATATTGAGTTGTTGCTTCTGCAGCAACTAAAGAAAGAATAGTGGTGCTCTGTAGCAATAAAACCAAGGCAAATAAAGTGCTTAGCTTCATTGGTAATGGCTAGCCAGTTGTAAGAACTCGGTACAATCTTCATGGCATATATATAGTAGTAGTTGACATTCAACAGGACTGAAATACCTGAGTAGAGAAGACACTTGCCAGATCCACCACATAATCAGTGAATGTCGCATGCAGAGTTAACAAGTCCAAACCCAGACAATCCACAAAGCCTGGATGAAAAAGTGGAAGAGGTTTGTTTTTACTTTATTTATTTAACTATTACTACAGTAGTGTTTTAAATGACCGAATGTTTCTGATAAGATCACCTTCTCACATTCCCAATATTGTTTGTTTGTTCAAAAATTCAATGGACAGCTAAACTATTTGTCTAGTTTTACAACAGTGAACCTGATATAATGGAAATCTGAGTTCGGTGGATTTCCCTTCTTCTTGAATCTTGAACAAGTTATATTAGCTTTCGACATCCACACAGAGCAAACAAGACCAGCAATATAGACTTCAAATGAATGTATTGCTCCTCACCAAGTAGTTAAATAAACAAAAAATTAGTACCTCTCACTCAAGTAACAGACAAAGAATACAGCTAGAACTGAGAAATCACCCCATTTGAGTGTAATTCTCTTTATATTATTTCCTCCTTTGTTGGACGTATAATTAGGGGAAACCAGTAACACTAAGGTACTATCATTTCTTGAGATAACGAAGTAGATACTAGCAAACCATTCGGCTCACATAAAGTACCATCTTATTAGGGTAAACTAGAAAGGTGGCTGGAAGGAGGCAAACTTGTTAGTATCAACCACTTAAATAAGATTGCACTGCAATTACAAACAGTGTATTTACACGTTAAATCATAGATTGCACGAGCAAATTTAAATAAGATAAATGAACCGCCAATAAAATACAGAGGAAAATGATTCTAGCCTTTGAGGCCACCGACACAAACTACAGTTAGGTAAATTTTCATCTCATAACACATGGCCCTTAACAGACCGCCCAGCTTCCTTCATCGGAAAACATGCTTGTACGATGAACATTACAAAAGCCAGCATCTTCAACTGCTCTTTACCAGCACATAAGCATTTCTGCATAAACCAACCATGTTCAGACTTCAGAATACAAATTACAAATCATTTCAAGTATCTATCATGCATAACTATACAAAAGCTGAAAGATTGTTTTGATGAAGAGACAAGCTTATATTCAACGTAAGAGATTGCCATCTAAACCATTTAGATGAAACTTAGGCATTTTTTGCTCGTATAAATCAAACAGTAGCACAATTGTTAAACATGTACAATATTTTTAGCTACAATATTCATACTAACGAAAAAACAGAAAACGTGAATCATGGAACAAAAAAAGGAAATAGGTATCCCCAGGGAATACTCAACATTACAAAGTACAACTTGGTATGCACCTCTAAGGAATAATCCATTGTTTTAATCCATGGTTTCGCTGGCAATATGAAGTATCACTTCTAAAGAGGTTAAGTAGCCGAAGTTCGGCAAAATTGTATAGCTTACATGGCATATTCACGTATTATACATTCTTTTTTTTCTTTTTTTGATCGCTAATTCCATGTACTGTACATTCAGTTTGATGAAATGACTGCAAGACTATTTAACCAAAGAGTAAAAAGAAGGTTTTCTAGAGTATGAGATTTCACATGGACACCATATGATGTTAAGGTCATATACTGGTAAAATCATGAGAAAGCAGCGGTTTCAGTTCTTGAAGGGTGTTTCAACTTCTGAAACTTCCCTTCTGCAGTACAATTATGTCCGACAGGTTGATTCTTCAAGTAAAGACTTTGTATTTCATGAAAGGTAGAGTTGATAAAGGATGATTGAAACACGCTTACACCCTGAAATTAGCAGTACACAGGTAGGACATTTCGCCTTACTTAGTCTGCGCTTAGGTGAAGCCAGCACGGCACTATGGCATGAGCCTATCTATGATTCTATCCTAAGAGTGAATTACTAAACAATAAATATTGCGAATAAAGTAATGCATTAAGTTACGAACTCTATGGATGAATAAGTTACTGCACAACAATAGGGAATTAGAAATTTAGTATAAAAGCCTGTCATAAATTGAACTAGAAAATTAAGACTGCATCTTTTGTGTCTAAATAGTTATCTAAAATGACTTTTGAACTTAATTGAAAGAAGTTTTACTTTAGTTACTTGATGGTCGATTTCAAACCTTTGTTCCATACAATTGTTTTTTCCTTTTGTTTTTTGAGAGAGAAAGTTCCATACCATTCAAACTAATCTAGAGTAACAAACTAAAAGATTAAAAGAAACAAGTTGGCGAAATCAATGAGAGACGATATCCTAGAGCTATGGGTTGGCTAACAATCTCGTTGAGTCTTCCACTTAAATTGTCTAATTACTAGGGAGTATTTGTTTTCGAGTATTTGTTCCATACAATTGTTTTTTCCCTCTGTTTTTTGAGAGAGAAAGTTCCACACCGTTGTTATTTCTGTTTAAAATTATTTTTCCTTGCATTACATATGTTCATATACTCTTAATCTATGTCTTAACTTCATAAAAGAAGCCTCCTTTGACAACAATACATTCAAATCGACAACAATTCATGAAAGGAAGATCTGTGGATGTGTATGCGTATAGGTTTAGCTTCTAAACAAAATCAAATAATCAAATGCAATTTTAGGAAAAAGACATGGAAGTTCTCATCCGCAGAGAGGCTTGACAACTCAGTTCTACAATCTGGACACATCACGTGTCATTTAAAGAGCCCGTTTGGATTGGCTTATTTTAAGTGCTTTTAAGCCAAAATCACTTTTAAGCCATTTTGTAGTGTTTGGATAAAGTAAAAAAAGTGCTTTTAAGCACTTGTTTTTAAGCTAAAATGACAAACATAAGCCAAAAGCCAAAAGCTAGAATTCCTAACTTATGGCTTTTGGCTTAAAAGTCACTTACAACAAGCTCATCCAAACGGGCTCAAAATCTTATAGAAAACGAAGGTTGGTACCTAACAATTTATTTTAATTGTGGAAGTAAGAAAGAAGGATGAAGTATGAGTATGCGAAATGAGAAATGGAAGGGATAACTTTGACGCATAGTTTTACCTTTCCAAATGCTCAACGCATTTTTGTTTATGACAAATGCTCAACGAATTTCTTATAATATTTAAGTATTTGTTACCATTACTGGAATACATAATAACATCATTCCCTTACTTTTTTTTACAAATTAAGACACAAGACTCTATAACTATAGTATTTGTTAAATATTACTGGAATATATAATAACATCATTCCTTTACTTTCTTTACAAATTCAGACACAAGATTCTCTAACTAAGTATTTGTTAAATATTACTGGAATACATAATAACACCATTCCTTTACTTTCTTTACAAATTCAAACACAAGAATCTATAAGCACTTGTTACATGTTACTGAATCCATAATAACATCATTCCTTTACTTTCTTTACCAATCCAGACACAGGACTCTATTGCCCATCTGTTCATCTGCTCGAGCTTCTGTAGTAGTTTCTTTTTTTTTGGTTGAAAAGAGCCTCCTAAAATAACTTACTGGGAACACCCAAAAACATCAAAAAAGAAGAATCCAAATACATTTTTTGTTTTGCACAAAATTTCCCTCATGAAAACCTCTCCACGCACTTGCCAGAAAGTTGCCCGAACGCCCTTACAAGCATGATAAGGACTATAATCCACCTTATCCCTTCTCTTCCCTCTCCTCTCTTAGTCTCTTTCACTTTGAAGATTGAAAAGTCTTGTGATAATCCCCTTTTCTTCCAATCACCCATTGTAAGGTTTTGACAGGTTTTGTCATCACTCACTTTGTGAGCAAGGAATAAAGACAGAAAAATAGTATAAGGTAGATATATGTTGAAAATTGGAACAAAATAGTTGGTAAAATACAATCTTAAATCACCAATGTTTTTGTAGCAAAGAGTAGTTCCACAGTAAAGCTTTTGCCTTACAATGTAGCGTATAAATGCCCTTTCCATCAATTTTTTTTTTTTTGAAAAGGATCCATGAAATATTTTTTATCAAAGGAAAAAATTATTAAGGAAGCAGCACTAAGATGGTGCCGTGATACTTGCATCCCCAAAAGGCAAAAGTATCATCCATTCTAAATCACTTCACGTGCACGTTCAATCTTACTCCACAAACAAAGCTAACATATATACTTGATCAAATTTATCGACATTCTTTATGAGCTCTCCAAAAGGCAACCACTAACGATTAGTCATCGTTTTGATCCAATATTCATACGATGTAGCGTCAACAAAAGGGGCCCCGGACACTTAATCGCTAGTTTTAGCGAAACATTAAAGCAGAGGAGGAAAGCAGCTTCAAAAGAAAGGGCAATAACTCTGCTCAGTCAGTGATGGGCCTTTCTAATTTTAGGATTACGGGAGGGTACCTATAGAGCACTTAGCTACTTTGAAGAAGAATGAATACGGAAAAGACCGAATTTTCACAGGAAAATTTCTCTTTAGAACACAGACCCTAAGCAGAGGACTAAAGAAGGAGTTAAAACGCACAATACAGGCACACATTTATCCAATGAGAGTTGGATATGAATTAGGTGAAGAAATATGGGTCTTGAGGGAGTCGTACTTGCAAAGAGATAAAGAGAAAGAAGTGTTGGTTTTGATATAGATTTGTTAAAAACAGTTGCCGGACAATAAGAAGAGAGTAAAATGTAATACACCAATATGATATACAATAGTACGTGTAGTTAAGCTATAGGGGTCGTTTGGTAGTTGGTTACAGGGTTAGTTATTCGTATATTAGGAGTAATATAACTAATATTATGTTTGGTTCCTTTTTCCATAGATATAAGGAATACATGGATAAGTTATACAACAAATCTATGTATTATTTATGCAAGGTAAAATGTGGAATAACTAATACACGTATTAGTAATATCTCGATTAAACAATCAAATGACCAAAAAACCTTCATATTTATTTTAAATTACACATTATATAATTATAACAAAATATAATCTCTACACTACAATCCATAAATTACTAATCCTTACATAACTAATCTTTTCATAATTAAACCATGCATAACAAAACCCTGCATAATTAAACCCTACATAAGTAATCTCTGCATACCTAATCCCTGCATAACTAATCCCTACATAACTTACCCTACATTACTAATACCTGCATAACTCTAACTAGCAACCAAACGACCCCTTAGGATTTACAGATGGTAACTTAACCATATAAGATAGTAACATTACGCGCGGTTAAACTTTTAGGTCTTGAAGCGGGTTAACTTTTCCAGTTAAAGAATGGTCAGTCTGAATGAAATACAAAGCAAAGAACATCAACAAATAACACTCATTTTTTCTAGCGGGGAAGGGAAATGACAAGCACGACCCATAATCACATTTGTTTTTGAAAGAAGGGATAGCTGGAGGCATTTTCCATCTCTGGTACATATGCATAACATGAGATCAGCACAGGCAAATTTTATTTGTGGCACGGAAACAAGATCAATGAAGGACAGAGGTTTCCTGATATGATCATTACATAGAGTGATTGACCTATGTGTCAAATACACTGACCTTAGGTGCCCTGGAGAGCATAGATATAAGCTATCACCTTTTGCTTCATAAGAACCGAGGTTTTCTATCTGTTGGCTTCAGAATCTGAAAAGAGCACATCAAATTTTCATCCACACTCATCATAGCACCAGCATTATCAAATTCGCCACAGTAGTTTGGTGCAGAAAATATTGTGACTAGCTGCCTTTCAGCGAAAAATTCATAGCCGTCCTCCACAACCTAGGTAAGAGAATATATTAGCCAATACAAGGAACTAAAAAGAGGAGACCAAAAGTTAAAAAGGAAATACCTGATGGGCCCGACAAACAAGGTCCATATCATGTTGCATCAAGAATTCTGCCACTTTATCAGAACCAAAGGTGTATGAGACACCCCTGTCATTCATACCCCAACCTTTAACTTCCCTACTAGGATCTGACCAAAGTAAATCGCAAAGCAAACCGGAGTCTGGAATATCTGTTGGACGAGGTAAATTCCTTATCTCATCTAAGTCTGTCAGATCAGGAGAAAGACCACCATGCATGCAAAGTATTTTATCATCTATGAGAGCTGCCACAGGAAGACAGTTGAAACAATCAGTGAAGGTTTTCCACAGCCTCACATTGAATCGGCGCTTGCATTCATCATAAAATCCATATATTCGGTTAATAGAAGCACATTCATGATTCCCTCTTAACAGAAAGAAGTTCTCCGGGTATTTAATTTTGTAAGCAAGTAGAAGGCATATAGTTTCCAAACTCTGTTTGCCACGGTCAACATAGTCCCCTAAAAACAAATAATTAGCCTCGGGAGGAAATCCACCATATTCAAAAAGCCTCAGAAGATCACCGTACTGCCCATGAATGTCACCTAGAATCCAGAACAAAAAAAGAAAAGAAAAAAGGGCGAAAGATTAATAAGTTTGACCAAATACAAGAAGGATTGATTATGACTGTCTGACCCAACCAACCCACCCATGCCTCAACAAAGAAACAGAGACGTGAGATGAATTTAATGTAGAGGACGGAAAAAGTTCGCGAAAAAATAATCCTATTAGGAAATAAAAAGACTTCATGATATAAGACATATTATATAGATACAGTATATACTAGAATACTTAAGATATTAGAATAGTGACAGCGGGATCACAAAGGAAGCATAGTACAATCAATTTACAAGGCACGACAAGGATTTCTAGACACTGTAATTCTCAATCTCTAAGGAACTGGAAGACCAATTTCAATGATAAACACAAGGACTCTAAACCCTTCTCCCATGTCCTATCAAACTTCAGCAAACTAGATTAATCAAGAACCTGGTAATCCTATCAGAAAACATAGAAAGTGCCATGCTACTTACTAAAGACAAAACGGGCACTACGAACAGGATATGCAGTATATCAAAGGCAATGTCATCCAAAAGCAGATATTAGCATTCAACTATCTCCCATAAGTATATCAATAGTTCCCGTTTTACACTAAAAATACAAGCCACGCGCCTACTAGTAAGCCAATATAAAAGATGAGTGCGCAAACTGGCAATCAACCTCTAAAAACTCAAAAAAATCACAATTTATCAAACTTAGGGAAGCAGTTTTTCATCTTATCCTGACTCAGACATGCACGTTTCAATGCAATGAAAGTCAACTTTCAAATTCATCAGTAACCTACTGCATTTAACAATGTCGAATAAGCACCTAAAAGACAAACTTAGGGTCCTCAAAACATTAACACTACAAGGGGTTGACAAAATCAAACGCAACTATGCAACTACCCCCTAAGCAGTAAAAATTAATTCCATGTAGAAGAACAGTAGGTGATTCCTGTAGTGGTAGGAGATAGCAGGTACGTGGTGGAATAGTCGCTTAAGCAAAAAAATGTAAAACTAATATGCCCAACATACATGTCATAATGATAGGCCTATGCAAAGTAAGTGAAATAAGAGGGGTAGAACAGGGATTTACCACAGATCTTGATAGGGGCTTCAAGCTCCAAAAGATTGGGCTGCTGAAGGAAGATTTCTTTAGAAGCAGTACAGAGGGATCGAATCTCAGCTTCTGAAAGCTGAACCTGCCTAACAGTTCTTGCATTCCTAAACTCCAAAAGCCTGTTGATTATATCATCAAGAACTGCAGGCTCTATCCCCTGCCCATTTTGAGCCATCACCCTCCCCGTAAACAAAACCTAAAAACCCAATAAAAAGCAAAGAATCACAAGAAAATGTAAAACTAGAAAATGGGGTTTACAGCTTTTCGCAAGAACCCATTTTTCTTGTGGAGAAACAAACAATAAAGAGTAAAGGTCTGATTTTGATGGGTTATATTATTGGTGGGATAAGAGAGAATGAGGATGATGTGTGAGATATATTTGGGGTACGGGGGTGGGTGGCGGGGCTGCAACTCCGATGTCGGAGTCGATGAATCCTTGCAGCCCTTGAGACCCTCTTTTGTGGCTCTTTGCTAAATGATAAGTGTAATTGCTATAAATCTGATATTCTAAGGTTCAATCAGAATCTAGGGTTTCCTTTAAAAAGGTCACCGTTGAAGCCACTTGACCACCTGCTCACCCATCGTTGACTCTGTTTTTGTGACTGCTTTTTCATAGATAATAATACTACTTCACATCAAATTTATTTATTTATTTTTATTTTATTCTTTCTTCTTCTTATTGCCGGTTCCCCTTAGCAGGGGAAAAGGAAAAAAATAATAATTTGTTAGAAAGACTAATATTTTTATTACTAAAAAAATGAATGCCATTACTTGATTTGTCTATTGTATTAGTGAAAAATAGACTTGCCACGTGGGTCTATTAAATGGCGATATGTGTCAGCAAAGTTATGAGAAAAGTGAAGAATGACATGTAAAGATGATATGTGAAATACCCTCGGGACCGAACATACTCGTACCATGCATGTTAGCCTCGGAACTGATCATCATAGAATAGCATCGAATCAAGTACGGGAGAATAGCTCATAATTACAAATGAGAAAAGAATCAATTAATCCCGAATTCCATGGAATTTACCATCATTACACCATCAGTTACAAATCAATTATGTAACGTACAATAAATGCAATAAATAGTTGTAACGAATAGAACAAGGTAATCAATTACGAAATTGACTCAACTGGCACGAGATTGACTCAGCAGTAACGGGATTAACTCATCAGTTACGGAATTCTAGCATTTACTCAGCTATTACAAGTCTTCCAAAAGTGGATGGATTTATTAAATGATCATAATGGACCTACAATTCAAAGAGAATGGTTACTTAAATTTATTCTACAAATAGACACATTTTATCATCATTGTAAGAATTTAATTTTCTTCTCTACAATTCTATATATTGTAATTCATAGTATCTTGCTCCCAAGTTAGCCATAGTACAGCTCTTCAAGCTTTGTTCGACTCATCATCCTATCAAGGATCATCCAATAAGAATTATTTCTTCTCTGCTTTATTTTATTATATTATATGCTATTGAATTTATTTTTCACTTCTCTATCACATTGTATTAACGGGAATTTATATCTTTCGGAACGAATTGGTTGCTTGTGGCCCATCATATTTTGATTTTAAAAAAACAATTAGGTTAAATAGTTTTGTTCCGTTGCCGGGACTTCACGCAGATTTTCTATTCATCCAAAGATACTAACAATTTTTGTTAATCTTTTCTTGTTTTCAGTTTAAACCTTCGTCATGGCCGAAATTTACCAATCAACACAGTTGAGGATAATCGAGTCGGGGATGGCTTTACCAGGCAAAATGAAAAAGGAAGAATAGCCATGATAATGTTAGGTAAGCAACGAACAAGAGAAAAATGGAGAATGGACATCGGTACTAGATATATTGGTAGTGTAACTATTAGTACCAGAGCTGATTATTATGGATTTGCACCAAACAGTTCCGGAACAAGAGGTTTAGATACACCAGGTAATTTCGATTTGCAAAATTTAATTCTAACCTTACAGAAATAGATCAAGGAACAAAACGAGTGGATAGAACACCTTAGGGATTCCCAATTATCTCAAGAGAATGATATGAATAACCGTTACAACACCAGGATTCAAATAGAAGAAGACACGGTAAGTTGAATCGACACTGATAGAATGTCAAAAAATAGGCTCGGAACCAAACGGAGGTGATTTCGAATCTGATCGAAGGTGTCAGAAGAACAACGCCGGACCTTTCTGGAAATGCGGAATAAAATTATAGGTTTGGAGATCGAACAAAGGTGATTCCTAGGAGATCTGAACCTGAACGCAAAAATCTGAAAATTTAGGCCCGAGCAAAGAGACACGAGATTTTCTTCACGGGTTGGAAAGATCCGTACCTTCCCGAACAGGTAAGGAATCACCTTACTAAATTGCAAGATTCCGCAAGGCCCTTGTAACGACCCGATGGGTTTTTTTGAGTATTTTAGCTCAATTTTCCTATTTATTACCTCCTCTATGTTGTATTGTGGTTATGTGACTTGCCGGGTGTTTGGTTTTGGTTCGGGTGAGTTTCAGAGTGAAATGGTACACTTAGTCACAAAGTTAGAAGTTAAAATTGAAAGAGTTGACCGTAGTTTGACTTTTATGTAGACGACTCCGGAACGGAGTTTTGACTGTTCTAATGGCTCCGTATGGTAATTTCAGACTTAAGAGCATGTCCGGATATTGAATTGGGGGTCCGTAGGTCGTTTCGGCTTGAATTGACGAAGTTAGAAAGTTGAAGATTTGGAAGGTTGAGGAGTTTGACCGGGAGTTAACTTTATTGATATCAGGGTCGGACTCCGATTCCGAAAGTTGGAATAGGTCCGCCATGTCATTTTATGACCCGTGCACAAAATTTGAGGTCAATCAGAGCTATTTTGGTATGAATCGGTGTTAGTTTTGGAAGTTAGATGTTCATAGTTTCAATAGGCTTGAATCACTACCAGATGTCAAACTAAATACAAGGCTCCCGCGGTGATATAAGAAAAGATTGTGATTTGATTTGTGAAATGAGACTACGAGGCGGTAGCTCGGTAGTGATTCTTGTTAATACCTTTCATTTACATCACTTGTGTTTTAGTTGCATCATTACTTGGTATTTTTATTATGTGTTTCTTCCGTGATATGTTAATTGCCTTAGTCTCAGTGTAGCTATTCTTGTTATATCTTTTCCCTGCATCATTTCCCTTGTTTTCATTATCATGCTATACTATACCTGCTCAGTTTCTTTATTTATTTCATTAGGTGTCTTGACCCGACCTCGTCATTACTCTACCGAGGTTAGGCTTGATACTTACTGGTATCGTTGTGGTGTACTCATGCTACACTTCTACACATCTTTTTGTGCAGATCCAGGTACCTCATATCAGCCTAGGCACCAGTGAGTCGAGCTTGGATCAGAGACTTCAAGGTATACCTATCGGAGTTTGTAGGCCTCAGAGTCACTCTCTATATAGTTCTATTTCATTCCCCTTTTATTAAATACTGTTGTATAGGGATGTTCAGTATACTCATGTTGAGCTTCTGACTCGGTATCACCGGATTTTAGGAGTTATGTTCAGTTGAGTTGCGGAGTCTTTATTATATGATAGCTATTGGTTAAATTTGATGTTTTGTTACTATTTCAGTTAAATTTTGCATGTATACTAGGCTTACCTAGTCTTAGAGACTAGGTACCGTCACGGCATCCTACATAGGGAAGTTGGGGTCATAACAAGTTGACATCAGAGCCCTAGGTTCATAGGTGTTACGAGTCACAAGCAGATTTAGTAGATTCTCGAGGATCGGTACGGAGACGTCTGTACTTATATTCGAGAGGCTATGGTACTATTAGGAAACTTCACTTCTTTGATTCCTTATTATGCGAATTTGTTGACTTCGAAATTTTGAATCTTTATCTTTCTATTCCTTCACAGATGGTGAGGACATGCATTGTAGGTGCAGGATCTGACAATCAGACACCCGCGCCCCCTGCTAGAGCCGCAAGAGGCCGGGGCCAGGGAAGAGGCTGAGGAGGGGCACGTAACACTTGGTTCCTTAAGGTTGACAAAAAGGGCTAAGTTTGACTTCGGTCAATATTTTGAGTAAACAGACTCGGAATTGGTATTTTACGGTTCCAATAGGTTCGTATGATGATTTAGGACGTGGGAGTATGTTCGAATCGAGTTTTGGATGACGCGGGAGCGTTTCGGCGCCTAATAGTGAAAGTTGGCTCTTTGAAGGTTTTAAAGTTCTTTAAATTTAGTTTGGAGTAGGTTTTGGTGTTATCTAGGTCAAATTGGGATTCCGAGACTAGGAATAGTTTGGTATGGTGATTTAAGACTTGCACGCAAAAATTGGTGTGATTCCGAGTAGTCTAAGTATGATTCGGCGCGTTCGGAGCGATTTGGAAAGTTGAAGTTCATATTTTGATCCAATTTGGTTTTAGGGTGTGATTCTTAGTTTCGTTGTTGTTTTACGTGTTTCAAAAGTTTGAGCAAGTCCGTATTATGTTTATGGACTTGTTAGTGTATTTGGACGGGGTCCCGAGTGGCTCGGGTGTGTTTCGGACCGCCTAGAGCAAAGTTGGAAAAAACAGAAATTTCCAGTTCTGGTTTCCTTCTACACGAACCTGGAAGGACCCTCGCGTCCGTATAGAAGGATTTAGGGGACTGGGGCTGGGGGATTTTTTCCCTTCGCGTTCGCGGTGGGTGGCACGTGTTCGTACAACAGCTTGGGCCTGGGCCACCCCGTTTCCCTTCGCGTTCGCCTGCATGGCTCCGCGATCGCTGAGAGCCTTTTCTGGGCTCCTCAGGATTTTTCCTTCGCGATCGCGTGTGCTTGGCCGCGATCGCATATAAGGACCCCTGGGCAGAAACATTTTAAAGACGGGACTTAGGCTATTTATTGGACACTTGGGCGATTTTGGAGCTTTAAAGAGGGGGATTTCAACCTAGATATTGAAGGTAAGTAATTCCTACCCAATTTAAGTTTAATACATAGATTATGGGTAGACTTTAGCATGTAAACTTGTGAAAATTATGGGTTTAGATGAAAAACCTAGATTTTGATAAAAATGGGATTTGACCACAAGAATGATTATGGAATGGGGTAAAAATTATATATTTGAGTTCGTGAGGCTATGGGTAACATTTATCTTTGAAAATTTTTGGAATCCGGGCACGTGGTTTTCGGGGTGAATTTTAGAAATTCTTCAACTGGTTTGGTAATCACTCTAATAGTAAAAATATGAATTTTTGAACATATATTGATTGATTTATACAACATTTGATTACTTTCGGATTGTTCGGCATCGAGTTGAGGCTTTAGAGTAAATTGGAGGCCCGAAAGTGAGCTTTGAGACGAGGTAAGTCTCTTTTCTAACCTTGTAAGAGGGAACTCATCCCCTTAGGTGTGTTTTGTTGTAAGTTATTTGTGTGGGGAGCTACGTACACACTAGGTGGCGAGAATCCGTGCGTAGCTATATTCCATGTGATATCCGTGTAGCCTTAGTCTTACATCTTGCTTTGTTAACATTGTTATTTGATTATGCTTATTAATTGCCTTGAACAGATTTGAGATTGATGATTTTAAGATTTAAAGTTTCCAGTTTAGATTCCTTACTTTTGGGAAG